ATGTGTTGTTTAATTACCTCCAGTAGAAGTACTGGAACATAATTACTTTGTGTTTTAGTGTTTTCCTGCATGATTGGTTCGCTGGCATTTCAGCAGCAGAGCGCTGTTTCCATCATGATGAATGTGACAGGTGAGGTGGAGGCCACTCCTGCTGCTGCTGTGGATGGGGGGGATGGATAGCTGGATGCAGGCCATGATGCTGGCAGGGGGTCGCTAGGGAAAACCCAACAATGTTTTGTGAATTCAGCTGGGGAATCTGGGAGGATTTGGGGTCTAATTTTTCTTGTGCTTTGTTGTGTTTGCACAGTGCAGCCAAGAGGCCTACGTTGAAAAGGATGCCTGGGAGTGATGGAGGATGGCTTTATCTGCAACATGTCCATTCTCCTTCAACCAATATCTTTTGTTCCAATTTATTTTTGCATCTCCCTCATTCCATTGCTCATTGAACTCTCAGCTGGTTGTCATTGTTGCCATACCTTTTATTCCCATAGCATATTATATACATATACAATCACTTTCAGAATACGTTATTACGTTATTGTTTTTTTTACAGGTTTGACATGCAAATCCATTGGAGTGGAATATAACTGAGATAATATATAGATTATAAAGGAGTCACTTTGAGTTCTGGATAATGATGAACACTTTCTTAGCAGAATCCTTCAATAATCAAGATCAATCAGCTGATTAATCCATAGGGGAAATAATCATTAATCTGACTTGCATTTAAAAGTTAAAATGATCCCCACCTCAAAAAAGTAAAAAGGCATTTCCTGCTTTTAAATGGATTCATGGGTAATCATAATAACATGATCAAATAAATAACAGTATAACAATCACACTGGACATTTATTTTTGAGAACTTCTGCTTTTAATACTTTAAAAGGTCTCCTATTATACAATTTTTAGGCATATATCATAGGTCTCAGAAACAAAACATGTCTCTGAAGTGCTTTGCTCAAAATACCAAACAGATCACCCATGCATGCTTCATACCCATTACTAAAGTGCTGATTCTGTGTCTGTAGCTTTGAAAAATAAAAAGAGGAGAGCTCATACAGGAGAATTCTACCGGCTAGGGGTGTAACGGTATCCGTAATCGTCCCGTACCGTCACGGTTCGGACGTCACGGTTCGGCACATGCAGTCATACGACGAATACGCCTTTTTTTTACGAGTGGGAAAAAAGTCTGTCCTTTAGGGCAGTATCCATTATACTATATATAATCCAGGGGGCGGTATTGCGCCTAAAAGCTGTTTGCCAGCCGCCCTTAAACAACAAATGAAGAACAAGAAGAAAACACAACAAAACGAAGAAAATACAAGAAGAAGAAAAGTTAGTATTGCGAGTTCAGATAACACCAGTGTTTCCCCTATATACAAATAGCGCTGCTGCTAGGGGGCGCCAGGCAGGTACTTTAAAAAAAAAATTTAAATAATAATAAGTGGCGATCCTTTTTCATTTTTGATTATCAGGCGCCCGCAGCTCACAGCCAAAGTGCGAGCGTGGGAGCGAGCAAGGGAGAGGGCGCACCTGTACCGGCGCTGTTGTTATTAGAATCTGGTGCTAGCAGCGCTAACGGATATAAGAAGTAGATGTTTCTACAACCAGGGTGGAGGAGAGCTCTCCTGTCAGACTGAGAGGCTCAGTGAGGTAAAGGACTCTCTGAGTGTTTAGATAAGTTAATTTGAGTCTAAGTTATCTCAGTGGGTCTCAAACGTTTTGACCACAAATTATGTAAATGCATATTTCCAAGGCACTCCTTTATAATTATTAGGATAAATAAAAACAGGTTTGAAATCATTCCAATGTATACTATAGGACAGTAATCCAAAAATATCGTTTAAAGTTGGAGAGATACAAAAATATGCATACATAAATAAATGTTAAATGAACAACACAAATAAAATAAGCTACATTTATTTGTTATTGGCTATGGTAGGTTATTGGTTATGTTCATATACTTATTTGATTATTAAAATGTAAACGGATCTTTTTCATATTGGTGTTTTAGAGTTGTACTCCCTAGATCAGGTCTCTAGTAATTGTGTGCTCAAAGTGCACCAGATTGAAGCATTTTACTTTAAAATGTTCAAAAAAAAAATCTTCCCAGGGGGGCATACACCCGGACCCCCCGACGTCCACCCCCCAATTCAAACATGTTCATACAATACTGAATACATTTGAAGCCATGTTGACGTATATTACCAATATCAATAAGTTTCTGTTTTTGTAGTGTATTTGTCTTTTGTAGAGATTTTTCATTTATTCTTTACATATAAAATCTCGCCTAGGGCAGCAAATTGGCTAGAACTGGCCCTGGTACTAGACCTCAAGAGCCTTTCTTGTGCTGACACATAGAAACAAATTGGCGGGGCGCACTTTGCACGCGCACACACTAAGAAATTCCACGCACTCCGCGCTCACATTATGCTGGGCCCACGTGCCTTAGCACCGCTGCTATGACTCCATCCTAGGGGAAACACTGAACACACAGGAGCTAGAACCCACCTGCTTCTTTTAAATCAGCTGTGTGGGAACATTTCGGGTTCCCTGTGGACTACAATAACGATGGAGTGCTAGTGGAAGATCGGACAAGGATGGTGTGTCGGTGTTGTTCGACAGCGGTGCGGTATGCTAATGGTAACACACGCCAAACATGCTAAATCATATCAGAAGGCATCAGCCAGATTTGGCAATCACCGGAGCCTGGCAAAAGACAACAGCAGTTCAACAGCTGATCCCCGCTGTTTTTAATAAACCAATAGACATGAAAGCCGTGAGACCAAAATAAATAATGGAAGCTTTTGGGATATATATTTCAACGGCTATGCTGCGCCCTTATGCAATAGTAGACGACCCCGGCTTATATTGATTGTGATTGAAACACTTTCTTATTATTTATTTTGTAATATTTTCAAGACATTCTTTTTAGTTTTACAGCTTGATGAAACCTTTTTGTTTGACATCAGCCATTATAGATAATATGGCCATCTGAGTGTGTGTGGTACTGTTTGTGGTTTGTTTTTAACTGTTTAATACAGTTAATTATTCAAAAATGTTAGAGTTCCTTATTTTTAAACTGAAACTTGCACTACTGTTCAAAATAAATAACAACAAACCTGGAATTATACATTTGGGACTTTTTTTTGCCTTTTTCTTGTTGTACCGAACCTGTACCGAACCGTGACCCCCAAACCGAGGTACGTACCGAACCGTGAACTCTGTGAATCGTTACACCCCTACTACCGGCAGAAACTTAAACGCCATATTATGTTCCAAACCATATCAAGCATTATTTCTGAAACAGTATTGTCTCAGTCTGCTCCCTCACTTACCTATTTTCTGCATTAGCATTTCTTAGCCACCTAAGTCACCTGGTAGTCACACCCTGTTTCTCTCTCACACTCTGTTACACCCATCAGCTCCACTAGTATATAGGCCCCCTTCATTCTCACATCAGTGCCAGATCGTACTTCGCAGCATGCAGTTCTTTCCCGCATTACCTCCCAGATTGCTCTCCCGGTTTCGACCTTGTCTGTCCCTGACCAGCCTGCTTCGCCTGTGTCCTGACCCTGCCTGTCCCTGGATTATTCTGCCTCGCCTGCTTCCTGACCCTGCCTGTACCTGCGTCTCCCATCTTACCTACTCCTGGAACCCTCGCCGTTCCCCGACCAGCCCTTTACCTACTGTCTGCCGGTTTATCTCATACCAGAACGTTTCAAGTGAGACACTTTCTAATAAAGCTGCTTATCGACTTTCCCTGGTTTCCCGTGTGTTGCATTTTGGTTCTCAGCTCGTTCGTGACAAGTATGGAGCTCAAATGTTTTCTCTCTCTTGGGTTTACCACAAGGTGAGTACCTTTTATTTCCTGCTTCTTCACACATACTCTCTCCAGTACAGGTTAGCTCTGAGTGTTAGTGATGCTTGCTAATGTAAACACAGACCATATTACTTCCAAAACACGTTGCGCATTGTTTCTGATACAGCAACGTTTCTGATAGGCCCGTGGGTGTAAAGCCAGCCCACATTTTAGTAATGTCGTCATCCAGGGTTGTCAACTTTGGGTACCTGGCTGGAGTGAGATGTTGATATCATGGGTTTAATTACACATGAGCACTAAATGACTGCTATCGTGTCAGTAGCGGGGCCTTAGCATATATATAGGATATATATACAATATACAAATACACAATATTGGACACAGACTATAAAGGGCACACAGTTTCATTCAGTAATAAAAGTCAAACACATGTTTGTTTCCACTGTTTTATTGTGTGCCTGTCGCGATAAGCAATTAAATGACTTATCGTATGATACTTACAAATGAACTCGATACATTTCCATTTACATGAGGATGTGACTAGCAGTTTGATAGAATGTACTTGAATTATTATAGATATATTATCATCATGTCAGTGGTCTAAAATGATACAACGGTGCCGACAATATTATCATTTATCGCAATAATTTCCGGGAAAATGTATCCAACTAAATTAATTATCGTGAGAGGCCTATACATGAAACACACACACACAAAGAAATCTACAGACTTACTCCAAACTGCCAAATATATTAATTAACGCACTCTCACTCTCATACTCTTTGACTCTATTTTGGCCTATAGTGGAACAATATGCAGCAGACTTTTACTTTATCATTTCTACTGGATCTTAGATCTGCGCATGCGCAATACGGGTCGGGGATTGACCAACCGGCTCCCACTGCTCTGCTGTCTGTTAACGTTGTTAAGAGTGGTGGGGGCGGGGAGGGAGCGGATCGACAGCTTGAGAAGCTGTCAACATACCATTAATATGGAGACATGCCGGATAGATCAAGTAAGGGTCACGATCCACCCGCTGTGAAATGAACTTATCTTCCATATTTGCCGTACACTTGTGTTTACGGAAGTTGAGATGTTTCTCGGTTGTGATTGGTTGTCCTCGTCACATGACGAGCGGTGCGCGCTGCTGCAGTGCACGTCTCCATTGAAACCAATGGGAATGAGCTCGCAACGCTGATGTGTATGGCTCCGTACAAAGTTGTACTCATTGCATTAGTATAGGCTACTTAACTGTAGCTTTTTACACTGGAGGCGCCCATCTCGGCCGAAGTCGGTTCATATTAACGTAAAGGTACATAATTAAATGGTAAATGTCGCCTTTAAGGAGCAGAACATTTTTGTTTTATTTGTGTGTGAATAATGAAATAATTTCAAATATGTTTTTCTGTGATAGGTAATTGGTGTGGATAAGATTGACCTCAGCCTTCCTTTGAACATTGTTCAAAAGGCTCTGTAGTAAATGGTGAGTATTCAAATGTTTTGTGTGATTTACTTGACTAACTTAAACTTGATCTTTAACTAATTGAAAACTGGTATTAGTCTGACAATTTCTGAATATTTATTCATAACATTTACATACTGCAAACATTGCAAAAGTTATTCACAAAGTGAGAGGCAAAAGCCAAACATTCTGTGATAAAGCCTCCTTCACAAAAGTGATAATGTTTTGTTTGTTGAAATGGCTATTGTTAGGGAAATTATTGACCAAGACTCCTAGATATGACGTACAGGACCAACCCTGACGTCTGTTTATCTCCTTTAAGGACATAGGCTGCTTCAGCCATAATGTTATTGTTCCCATTCTGTGACCGGTCAACACTAGGTCACAGATGGTCTGTTGTTGTGGGTGCACTGGGACACTTCCTTCTTTGTTGTTTGTGGACTCCAAGGTATGACATCTTCGAGGCCATAGATGACGGACGCAAGTGACTCAGTGTGCCCAACTGTTTAAACTATCTTATCAAAATATGTTGATTACTCTCTGTGAAACCAGTTAAATGGGCTAACGAGAGAGAGGCGCTCCAGAATTGACGTGGCAATCCACCCGTGCAGTCAGACCGTGACTGCTGTGACTTGTGATGTGAACTCTCCGGCCGTAACTCCAAATAAACCTCCAGTGTTTGACATCAAAGCTCCTGCTCTACTGTGTCTCCTTCCTGAGTCGGTGACTCCCACTGCATTGCTACACAGAAGTTTCCCTTACAGTTATAAGGGTGTTTCTTATATGTAGTCTTATATTACAGTAATACTTATTTTAAGTCGCTTTGGAAAAAAACTTAAACTAAATGTAATGTAGTCTAACCTGGTTGTTCGTACTTGATATAAAAAGTTATTCTCATCCAAAACAGGAGTAATGTGCATAGTCCCTTTTCCGTGCTCTGGTCAATACATTTTGAATCAGCTGAAGCAACTTAACTGAGTTTTTGGTACACCCTGATAATAAAGAGTTACAATAAACTAGCCTTGAAGTAACAAATGCATGGACTAGTTTCTCTGCATCGTTTTGAGGCAAGCAAACAACTACAATCATAACATCATTAGAAAATGAAATGATTTCATGATTTTTATGACTGTGATATTTTGTTGTTTTGTTGTTTTTTGATAAATGCGGAGTTTAAGCGTATAACAACCCTGCCCCTCCAATCAAGATTTCTCTCTCAGCTGGATGTGCTATCTGACAAACTTCTGAAGGTTTTTGAGAAGAGAGGCGGACAGATAGGCCAGCGTCTGAACTGTATTATGTCAAACATGACTCAAGTAAGAATTCATTTTAAGGAAATTATACATCGAGTCAATAGTGTACACATTTCATTGAGCAAAACAGATTCTTTCTTTTCTTATTCCCCTTCACTTAGGTTGATGATGTCGATTTAGGCCGGGATTGTCTTCTCAAGGGGCTGTGTGTGTACCTCAATGAGAGAGTTTGTGGTCAGTAGAAGTAATATTTGACCTTTTAATTTTTTTGTTGGGCGTTAAAATATGTATTTATTGAAACACCACATAATATATAGCCAAAAGTATGTGAACATCCCTGTTTTTTGTTTAATAGCCAGACTACACTGAAAAGCTTGAGGGCTTTTAATTTAAAACGGATACAGGAAAGGAAACGTTTTTTATCAGGTCAGACAGGAGTATATCAGATAACAAGGAGGCTTAAAAGTACTGACATCTGATCAAATGTACTAGTTAAACACAGGGACTTAGTAATGGGTATATATATGTATTGATTTGTTAGATCTCACTCTGTTCCTTTTGTGACTGCGCTCTGCAGGCAGAAGATGAAGACGTCATTCTGTGGGCCTTTATGTTGTCAAACACAATTCCACCATGAGACCAGAGAACAGATGAGACCAGAGGACAGATTGTCCTGGAAGGCCAACAGGTACTAACTGATGTGGACAACATTGCATTAGCTGCTACCATGCTGTTTGGACTAATGTATGCAATGAACCTGAACGACCCGCCTAAACTGAAGTGCACGTTCAAAGTGATCCAGCAAATGTTAATGGAGCTAGACGGCAACATGCTCTCCAAGAAAGCCCAAGCGTTTAAAAACAAACTGTTTGAGTGAGCTGTTGCCAAGGACCATTGTGCACTTTTACAGCATTCATACTGGACTTTCATCGATACAACTGTCTTGCACTTCCTTTGCTCATGCTTTTTGCTTGATTTGCATATTTCAGAAATGTGGGTTTTTCCTGGGGTCATGTGTTTTCAGAATGTACCACTTGTCATGTGTTTCACAATGTACTAATTGCACTAATTGTACTAATGTACTAACTTCAAAATGTCAGTTCTTGTTTTTATTTGTAATACTTTCTTTAGTGCATATGTGGTGAGAAACCAGGCCATTATTATACTTCCATGTATTTTTCCAAAGCAATGCCATTGCTTTTTTGCATTAAAGTGCCCTTTCATATTAGCAGGTTACTATTTAAATAATGGATTTGCAAGAACATTTCCTTTTTTCGGCTAGGTTGACATTTTCTGTTAATTGTTTACTATGAATGAGTTACAAAAATAAGCCTTTCTTTGCCATTTGGCCCAATAAACCTTTATTTTGGTCAGGAGAATAGTTTCCTTTAAGCTTGCTTGCTGTGTAATAACACAATAATGTATATGTACATGCATCACAAACATTTTCTATTTCTTCTATTTCTTTATTTTCAATGTATTTGTTAATTCTCCTGAGGCTGCATGATGGAAAAACCAAAAGCTCATCTGGATGTGTGGTGGTTGTTAATATTGTTTTATTTTTTGAGAAAAATACATGAATGTTGTTCAAAGAAATGTGTTTGTCTTTATTGACTATTTGTTTTAAAATGTTATGATAAATGCTGTAGATATAAGAGATTAGGATGGATCCTGTAGAAGAATGTACGACATGCCTCTATTCACATGAAATAAATAATCTTATGTACCCCTTGAGCACTAGGTAGATTAAACGGAAAACTATAGCATGTAGTTTAAACAAAACAGTAATGTGGCTTTAACAGGTACAAATGAAATATACTGAGTATATTAAAAGCCTAAAATGAACATTAAAAGTCATGTTGGTTAAACATAGGGTAAATGAATATACCTATATTAAAGGAAATATTCACATTAACATAACAATTTCATGTTTCTTTGACATAACATAGTTGTGTGTCTCTAACATAATGGAATAGTTTTGAGTACACATGTTTTTAATGTGTGCAACCGGTTTCCATATTAAAATCATGTTAATCCAACGGCCTTTTTTTTCAGTGTGCTCTGCTGTCTGTTAACGTTGTTAAGAGTGGTGGGGGCGGGGAGGGAGCGGATTGACAGCTTGAGCAGCTGTCAACTCAACATTTAAATAACCAACCAAAAACGATCGCCGGTTCATCTTGTTTTTGGCATGAGAATAGTTTGGGCAGCGTGAAATTGAGAGTGAAAGCGTGTGTCACACACCAGATGCGTGACAGTTGGCAACCTTGCGTCATCAGTGGCGGCTCCAGAGTATTTTTGTTGGGTAATCTATGGTAGGGCTAACCCATACAGTGGTGGGGCTCAAGTCAGTATTTGCAATTGTAGAGGAAACTTCTGTGTAGCAATTCATGGGAGTCACCGACTCAGGAAGGAGACAAGGTAGAGCAGGAGCTTTGATGTCAAAACACTGATGATTTATTGGAGTTTCGGCCAGAGCATTCACATCACAAATCACAGCAGTCACGGTGAGACTGCACGGGTGGGTTGCCACGTCAATTCTGGAGCGCCTCTCTCTTGTTAGCCCATTGAACTGGTTTCACAGAGAGTAATCAACATATTTTGATAAGATAGTTTAAACAGTTGGGCACACTGAGTCACCTGCTTCCGCCACTTATGGCCTCGATTATGTCATACTCTGGAGTCCACAAACAACAAAGAAGGAAGTGTCCCAATGCACCCACAACAACAGACCATCTGTGACCTAGTGTTGACCGGTCACAGAATGGGAACAATAACATTATGGCTGAAGCAGCCTATGTCCTTAAAGGAGATAAACAGACGTCAGGGTTGGTCCTGTACGTCATATCTAGGAGTCTAGGTCAATTATTTCCACAACAGCAATGTAATTACATACATGCTATATCGCCCCCCTAGACAATGGAACGCCACGCGTGAGGTTTAGATTATTTCCCTGTCTCAATCCAAATTGAACTGTATGAAATAAAAAGGCCCATTTGTCTTGTAGTAAATAAAAAGGGCGACCTGGAGCCAATCCTGCAATTTCCCCACAGGTGAAAGAGTTGACATGCTGAAAACCCAACCCCTGCAGGGGGGTCTGGGGGGATTCTCCCATAAAATACACATTCTGGTACTCTCTTGAGAAGAAAAATAAATACATCTATTACTTAGATTACTGTTCCTAGTGTCCAGACGTGAGTTTGCTTAAATATATGTGTGTACTTAATTACTTTGTATTAAATAGTAGCAGTTTGTATAACAAGAAGCTGGAAATGTGAGACGTGAAACATTTGTATTAAGAGTAGTGGAGATGTGAGAGATGAGATATCCTTATTTGGACACCGCGTGGCAAACATCTGGAAGGCAGCAGAGTAAAATGAGTGTGCGTTAAACATGCTTAGGGAAATGAGTGTGCGTTCTGTCAAAGAGTCCTATATGTTTTCTGTAAAGTTTTACTATTTCTCGCATTGCTGTAGGAATGTTTTCTTCGTTTTTATTGATATTAAAGTAACTTACATGTATTACTTGCATTAGCCAACTATAAACAACTATATCTTAGACATATCTTAAAAATGCCACGGGTGTGTGGAGTTGTGTGTATTGAACTGATGGGGGAGGGGGCCGGAGAGAGGGAAGTCTATGCAGAAAATGTCTGTGTGTGTGTGCAGGCTGCAAGAATGCGAGACAACGAACACCAGATGTGTTTGTTTTGCCTCAAACTTAAGAGACTCTTGTTTCCGGGTCACCTCGGCTGGCTCGCGCTGATTCGCTACGACAGCCCATCCTTTTTGTATCTCCCAATGGATGGCCGCTGTGGGGGGAGCATCCGACACGGCTCCTCCCGTTGGGATTGCATGTAGCCCTGTTGTGTCTTTTTGTCCGGCCTCTTTTTCCTCCTGCTGCCAAGATAGTAAGATCTCCCAGCACTAGGAACAGAGCAGGAGTACTCCTTATTTTGTATTGTTGTTCTTTTACCATTAAAACAGATTATTGTTTATCCTTTATCCTGGTGTTTCGAATTCCTTCTTTTATAATTTGATCAGTTCATCAAGGGACACGCGGAGCCGAGGTGGGCTTCAGACCACCGTCCTCATTGCTCCAACATACTACATGACGTATTTAAAAAAAAAATGAATGCCATTTTAGTTTTTTGTTACTTTGTTCTGAAAGCTGAACCTGCTGCTCCTCACAGAGAGAAGAGGGAAGAGGCTGTGAATTACTTTACATTGTGGATAAGGGTGGATAGCCCCCATTGTTCTGTGCGTCAAAATGAAAGACAGCCCACACACCTATCAATCATCAAACCGTGGGGTCTTATTTCATTACGTGTTGATTTCTATCAACACGTAATGTTGTATCGATGTATATAGAGATGTACTACTGCAAAAGTATTCTCCGTCGGGACTTCCTGCAACAACACCACGCCGTTATCGTGATTCTGATTGGCCAGAAGACATTATCAAAGATGTTTTATTGAGAAGACGATCACTACCTGACAAAAGTTTTCAAAACTGTTTCTAGTCTTCGGTATTTCCAGACAAGTGGCTCCTGAAATCAGCTTACTTTCTGTCTGTGCAATTTACTCCGCGGACTTTATTTTGCTTACTTTAACATAATTTTTCATGGTGGCGCTAAGGTGAGGCTAAGCCATTTCTTGGTATGGCTGTAGCCTTCCCCAGCCATACCCTGGCGCCGCCACTGGTTGTCATGACCACAGCAAATCTGGATCAGCTCCGTTGTTCCCTCGTTTTTAGAGATGTGGGTATGGAGGTAAAGAGAGAGGGTTGTATTTTCGGACACTTTGTGAGTCTCCTGACACATATTTATGTATAAAAGACATAAAAAAGTGCATTTTGCACAATAGGGCACCTTTAAGTAAATGTAGCTGCTCACACTTAAAGGTTTTCCGCCAAGTGTTCTTCTATTATTGGAGTACATTACTCTGTGGTATTAGTGTTTTAACTTTAGTAAATAATCTGAACACTTCCTCCACCACTCATCCACATGCTTTAACAGATAGCTGTGTGGGAAGGGATAAAGGAGAGAGTCAGTGTTGTGGGGAGCGACCGTGGTGATCCTGAGTCTGAGGGTCCGGTTTGCTTGAAACAAACTAGATTTGTGGTTAGTGTGAAAAGGGACAAAAGCAGCTGGGTAAAGAAAGACAACATTTGGTCTCTCACTGTTTCTTGTGGATGTTACTAATAGCTTGCCTGTTTTGGGAGACAGATATATGATGTTTAGCCAAAATGGTTCGGTGACATAGGGAATGTTATGTTTCCATCAGTGAATAACATATTGGCATAATAAGAGGAGGAATGGCTATCATTTGATTTTGGCGGTATAAACTGCATCTGTGGTCATGGTCAAAGAGAAAAAGGGCCATCATGATTGGTATCAATTGCATAAATCGTGTGCTCAGGTCTAAAACATGTATTATTCTTTTGGTGCAAACAATAGGTATAAATTGCAAATAACTGTTCTGCAGATTCAAATCATGTTGTTGTGTTCGGTGAAGATTGTGGTGTTTTGGTGAACTTCTACGTAGAGAAGTAACCTAATATAGATTTGATGCTAAACAAACTGATTAACTTCAACTTGAGGATTCAGAGTTCAGATGGTGCGTGCTGAACACCTCTGGTGCAAACACCTTTGAAAGAGCTTTTAGACCATAAAAGGACACTACATTTCTTCCTTTAAATCAAGGCCAATGCAATACTTTTATCTTTAGCAGCACTTGAAGGCAGATGACCCATCTCACCTATTAAGTCCCCTTGACTCACAGCTCAATATTTCCTGACCAGCAAGGTAATTCAGGATGAACAAATCAATCCAGTTTGACTCTGCGTTTGTGCTCTGCTTTCTGTTTTGACACAGTATTTATATTAGAAAGCATCCCAAAGTGGGTAACAGCTATAATGGCAGGAACCATCCCGCCCAGCGTCTTCATTTCATATGCAGCAGGCCTAGCTCATTTCTAACGCACACTGTGATGCTGTATGCCCTTTGAATTTAGGAGAACCATATATGGCATTAATAGTTCTCAGATCTTAACTGGAGTGCAGCGATGTGCTTTCAAGAATAAGAAGAGAAGGCCATCCAGTTCTTGACTTCCTGTCTTCGGAGATGGATAGGTCTTGTAAATTGGCACCCTAGGCGAACAGCGCTGCCACAGAAGTCAGTGTTGTGGGGCGTCTCTGGTGATCCACCCTGAGGCTCCCAGCCTACTGGGTGCACCAGGAACATCATCAAAACGGCTTCTGCAGTGAAGGAACACGGAATGGAATCTAAACCAGCAAATCCAAAAGATATTCTCCTTGTCAGCTTTAAATGAGGACAATGTTGTGCCTCCATGGCCTTTGCATCTAAAAAAACACAGCATTTGGTACAGCATCCATCATACACAGATGTGTGGAGCCCTCAGGCTGCAGGTGATAGGAAACAAAAGGAAGTTACCTTTTTAGCTTGCTCTATCAGTACCCTGTCAATACCCCCTGCCCCCCCACGCATGCACACACACACACACACACACACACACACACACACACACACACACACACACACACACACACACACACACACACACACACACACACACACAC